CCTCTTTGAGCACCATGAAGGCTTACTCAACAAGTTCAAATTTAACAAAATAAAACATGATGCATCTAATCAACTGTTAAATCATTGGGGTAGGGAGAATCCTAAAACACAGTTGAAATCTATTTTTATCGTTTTTCACTATTGATAACTTTTAATCCTCACTCCTTCATTCTTTTCTTAGGCTGCACATCGGGGCAATCTGCTAAGAAAGCCCAGGTACTCCCTCCTTCAGTGCAGGAAAGAGATTCCAACCACACAATTTCATCCTGAGCAAGTGATCCTTCACCCTGACCACACCTTAACCTCAAGAAAAACACCCAGCCTGTCTTATTTCTCTGCTCTCATAGTCCATTTCCATACCACACACTCTGTGCTCTCCTTCAACACCCCAGCATGTGATAAACAACCTGTTTCTATCATTCTAGTGTGAATGGGTGTGCGGCATCATCAGTCTTCATATCTGGACTCAATTTGATTGGTGTTCAATTTTCCCCATGCGAGACTAACACAATAATACATAGGATGCTGTATGATCTCAGTTTAATTTTTGAGATACTATGAAAAAGCCCCAACATGCAGAAAGAGAGACATAATTGTGTAAAAGATTCCTGCAACCCCCTTAGATCCACTACACAGTTTCAATAATTATTATGGTCAATTTTATCAAGATCATGCTGTTTCTAGTTTCCCCAAATCAATTTAATGCAGTAATCATACATCTTATCATTGTATCCAAATCTTAAAATAAATCACTAAAGGAACCATTTTAAAAGTATAAGTACAGTGTAAGTATCACAATGAATATTTAAATATAGTTTCATTCCCTCTGTGGGTGGCCCACCCTCCTGGCATCTCAAGGTGTTCACGAATCTCCAGCTCCTCCTATGACATTCTTCAAGAGTTTGTATAAAGTTTATTTTCTAGGTCTCCCCATCATTCTGCTGAATGTACTAATCACTTGGTCTTCTGCTGAGCAGCCCTATCCTGAGGCTACCCCAGGGCCCCACCCCAACCCACCTCATTAATATAAATCCAGTGGTTCCAAAGGGGCTTCTTATAAATAACAAAAGACTGACTGAAAGTCATGGCTGTCATCTCAGCACTTTGGGGGTCAAGGAAGGAGGATAAAACCAAAAGATCCAAACCAGCCTGGCCTATAGAGTGAGACAATATTTCAAAAAAAACAATAATTAAAAAAAATTAGCTGGGCCTGGTAACGTGTGTCTGCAGTCCTAGACATTTGGAAGGTTGAGGCTGGAGGATCTCTTGAGCCCACAACTTTCAGGTTACAGTGAATCACGATTGCACCACTGCACTACAGGGTGAGAGCAACATCCTGTGCCCCCCACAATAAAATTAAACCCAGCACTTGCCCTCATGCTCCACTCAGTGCATGATGGGTTACTTCTGCAGCTCTCACCCCATCATGACCAATCTTCAGGTCCCTACCCCTGCCCCCTTCACCAACCCAGACCCTGGAGAATCAATCAGAGAACAAGATACAATTGTCCTCTGAGACCTGTCACTTCCCTTATGCTGACTCTATAAAGAAAGAAAACTCCCTACAGGGTATAAGACTGAATTTGTTCTGAGGTCACTATATTGGTGACCTCATATACACAAACACACACACACACACACATATGTGTGTGTGGTTCACTCTTTAACATCTTACATGAGAAATTTCTTTTGTATGTTGTATGAGAATCACAGATTTGAACTTCTCACAAGGGGATTCATGCTGGTTTTGCCCTAATTACATCGAATTAGTTCTGAGGTGTTCTGCATAATCACCATATCTACCATTAAACAGTCAACAGAAGTATGAGAAACACAAATCATTCTTGGAATATCTTGAGTTCTGTGCCATATCAAATTCTATATTTTAAAAAATGTTTTCCAGGCTGAGCTCCACAGCCCAAGACTGTAATCCCAGCAGCGTGGGAGGTCCAGGCAGGAAGATTGCTTGAGGTCAGGAGATTGAGGCTGCAGTGAGCTATGATCTCTCCACGGCACTCCAGCCTGAGTCACAGAGATTCAGTCCCCCCACCCAAAAAAAAAATAGTTTTCCAGAAGATCTGTGTTTATTGGTGTTTATCTTTACACAAAACTTAAAGAGAAATTGAGGTTGATTTTTCTTGTTTTCATGTGACCATGAAGGGGTGAAGCAGGGAATCAAGGAACCAGCCCCAGATGACTCATGTAATCTGAGAGCAGGCCTGGGTTCCACACACAGGACACACACCCAGATGGAACCACAATGCCTCGCCTTTCTCTTTCTTTCCTCACTCCCCATGTAAACAAATCTGGAAGATTTACGAGATTAAAAAGAGTGGTGACAGGAAAGGAGAGAGGATTGGTAGAGGAAGGAAAGTCCATTAAGAGTAGGGACAATTGGGTGGGTGCGGTGGCTGATGCCTGTAATCCCAGCCCTTTGGAAGGCTGATGCGGGTGGATCACCTCAGGTCAGGAGTTCAAGACCAGCCTGACCAATATGGTAAACCCCATCTCTAAAAAAATATGTGTGTGTGTGTGTGTGTGTGTGTGTGTGTGTGTGTGTGTGTGTATAAAAGATTAGGGACAATTGTGAGGGAGAAGAGAAAAAATAGGATCTGAGAGCCCTGAGATGGATTGAAAGGGGAGTGGCAGTTCAAAGAAAAGAGGAGGGATCATCAGTATTTAAACAGACCACATCCTGTGTGAGTATAAGCTAGTGGTCCTTAGTTCAGGAGGCACTGGGAAGGCTTTGACTGTTCTGTTTGTTCAGGGAATTTATTTTTTTTAATATGACCCAATGATAGAGGATTCCTAAAGAAAGCAAGTTGAAATGGATTAACAGTGTATGCTAGAAATCCTGGATACTGCAAAGACGAGCAATTTACAGCGATGAGGAATTTGTATATGAAGAATGGACAAAGTTTAACACTAGTATATTCTATTATAGCTCAATCCACATTTAATGACTTACAGGACCCGAGGGAACAGATTTTACCGGTTAAGGGCACAGAATATGTTCCAATGATTTTGTTTGGCCATAAATGTGACCTGGAAGATGAGTGAGTAGATGGTGAAGAAAAGGGCCAGAATTTGACAAGACAATGGTGTAACTGCGCCTTTGTAGAAACTTCTGCAAAGTCAAAAGATCAATGTTAATGAGATGTTTTATGACCTGGTCAGATGGATAAATAGAAAAACACCAGTGGAAAAGAAGAACCCTAAAAAGAAATCACATCTGCTGCTCTAAGCCTGTAGTCAACAGCAGCTCTGAGCCAGATTACAGGAATGAAGAACTGTTGCCTGATTGGAAAGTATCAGCACTTTAGACTCCAAAAGATAAATCTCAAGAGGCTTCTCACGCTGTATATATTATGTGAAGAGTTTAGATCTTATGTTGGTTTGCACAAGTTCCCTGGAGAAAAAAATTGCTCTTGTATATCTCTTGGAAAATAAGACAATAGTATTTCTACTTTGCAATAGCAGTTATAGCAGGTGTGAAAATATACAAGAGTAAGGATGCATTTCAAATGTTAGCTATTGCTACTATAATCAAATGATTTCATATTGACCTTTTAATCATGATTCCTCCCTATCAAGCACTACAAAGTTGAACCATTATACTTTATATCTGTAATGATATTATGAAATGTCCCCTCAACCTCATTGCAGCAGATAACGTTCTTGAGTCACTGACTTCATTTTATATTTAAAAAAATATGGAATACCAGGCTGGGTGCAGTGGTTCATGCCTATAATCCTAGCACTTTGGGAGGCCGAGGTGGGTGGATCACTGAGGTCAGGAGTTCAAGACCAGCCTGGCAAACATGATGAAACCCCATCTCTAAAAAAACAAAACAAAACAAAACAAAAAATGGAATATCATCTGTCATTACATTGTAATTAAAATTGTTTCTGCATAATGCTTTGGAAAAATGGTCTATTTTCCTACAGAAGAAAAACAACTGGAATAACTGATTTCTATGGCTTTCAAAGCTAAAACATGTAATATACTAAACCAATTTTAATATTGTTTTTTGTGTTTTACTGTCAGATTAAATTACAGCTTTTATGGATGATTAAATTTTCGTACATTTAAAGAAAAAAAAAAACTGGTTGGGCGCAGTGGCTCAGGCCTATAATCCCAGCACTTTGGGAGGCTGAGGCGGGTGGATCACAAGGTGAAGAGATCGAGACCATCCTGGTCAACAAGGTGAAACCCCGTCTCTACTAAAAATACAAAAATTAGCTGGGCATGGTGGTGCGCGCCTGTAGTCCCAGCTACTCGGGAGGCTGAGGCAGGAGAATTGCTTGAACCCAGGAGGCGGAGGTTTCGGTGAGCCGAGATCGTGCCATTGCACTCCAGTCTGGGTAATAACAGCGAGGCTTCTTCTAAAAAAAAAAAAAAAACTAAGAGAAATTACCTTGCCTGGAATGAAGCATTGATATGCTGAAAACTGATTAGCCTTTTGAAAGGAAACTTATTTATTTAATCTTTTCTGAGACAGGGCCTCGTTCTCTCATCTAGGCTGGGGTTGCAACTTCCGGTCCACAGGTTTAAGCTATTCTCCCACCTCAGCCTCTAAAGTAGCTTTGACTACAGGAGTGGGTCACCATGTCCCACTAGTTTTTGAATATTTAGTAGAGATGGGGTTACACCATGTTGGCCTAGCTGTTCTCAAACTTCAGAGCTCATGTGATCTGCCCATCTCAGCCTATCATTTAATAACAGATCAGGCGCGGTGGCTCAAGCCTGTAATCCCAGTACTTTGGGAGGCTGATGAGTAAATCATGAAGTCAGGAGCTCCAGACCAGCCTGGCCCACATGGTGAAACCCCATCTCTACTAAAAATACAAAAATTAGTTCAGCACAGTGGCGGGCGCCTGTAATCCCAGCTACTGGGGAAGCTTAGGCAGGAGAATCGCTGGAACCTGGGAGGCGGAGGTTGCAGTGAGCCAAGATCTTGCCACTGCAATCTAGCCTGGGCGACAGAGTAACATTCCGTCAAAGATACAAGATAATAGAAGGCGCATAGCTGTTTCAAGATGAAGCTGAACATCTCCTTCCCAGCCACTGGCTGCCAGAAACTCATTGAAGTGGACGATGAACGCAAACTTCGTACTTTTTATGAGAAGCTATGGCGACAGAAGTTGCCGCTGTCGCTCTGGGTGAAGAATGGAAGGGTTATGTGGACCGAATCAGTGGTGGGAATGACAAACAAGGTTTCCCTATGAAGCAGGGTGTCTTGACCTATGGCCGTGTCCGCCTGCTACTGAGTAAGGGGCATTCCTGTTACAGACCAAGGAGAACTGGAGAAAGAAAGAGAAAATCAGTTCGTGGTTGCATTGTGGATGCTAATCTGAGCGTTCTCAACTTGGTTATTGTAAAAAAAGGAGAGAAGGATATTCCTGGACTCACTGATACCACCGTGCCTCGTCGCCTGGGGCCTAAAAGAGCTAGCAGAATCCGCAAACTTTTCAATCTCTCTAAAGAAGATGACGTCCGCCAATATGTTGAAAGCCCTTAAACAAAGAAGGTAAGAAACCTAGGACCAAAGCACCCAAGATTCAGCGTCTTGTTACTCCACGTGTCCTGCAGCACAAACGGCGGCGTATTGCTCTGAAGAAACAGCCTACTAAGAAAAACAAGGAAGAGGCCGCAGAATATGCTAAACTTTTGGCCAAGAGAATGAAGGAGGCTAAAGAGAAGCGCCAGGAACAAATTGCGAAGAGACGCAGACTTTCGTCTCTGCGAGCTTCTACTTCTAAGTCTGAATCCAGTCAGAAATAAGATTTTTTGAGTAACAAATAAATAATATCAGACTCAAAAAAAAAAAAAAGATTACAAGATAATAAATAAATAAAAACTTAATGAGCTTTTCCATTTTAACTAAGGAATGGTAGTTTTAGACTTCTGCCACAACATTATGGTTGACAAAACATTCTTAATTCATTTTAAATAGATCTGACTTTAGATCCTGAAACAGCAAGTCATAATCTTGTATATCTGAAGATAGAATACAGCGAGATTTGGAACGACATCCCAAAGACTCATGATCCAAAAAAGACTAATGCTGGTACTTCTAGAAGGAAGAGAAAGAGAACAAAATCAAACGGGATAGACCTAACGGTGTTGTTTGTAAGAATTGTCTTCCCAGGAGATGGAAAAAGATACCATCATGATAGGATTCATTCTTTAGTATTCAGCTACAGAAATGTAACAATTTCGCTGAAGTCATTACAGTAGGTAGAGTGGCAAGAGTTCTTCTGCTAAAAGTAAAACCCAGTAATATTAGGATTTTTTCTGGACAATGAAGTGGGTGAGGTTTAACCTTGTAACTTGAATGCCAGGTCTCATATCTTTTCTTCAAGTGATATTTTTATGAATCTGTTTAGGTTGTTTCACTTCACTGGAACCAAGTACAAAAGGTTACAAAAAAAAAAAAAAGAATAAAAAAAAATAGGCTGTGTTTTCCACTGGGTGTGATTTAGTGATTTATAACCTCATATAATCGGTACAGTAATAGATTATGAAGGATGAATTATTTAAAAACTATTTTCTATTTTATTGAGAGGAGCTCTACAATTCTGAATTCAGTCTCTACCACTTATAAGCAGAAAAAAACTTTTTATATCATTATTTTAGCAACTATCAATAAAATGCTATTTAAAAAGGCCTACTCTTCAGAGATGTAATGGGAATAAATTGTAAAGTACTTTTGATATTCTGAGATGAAAGATAGTGTACTCAGTCAATATTTAAATGCTTTCCACATTATGAATTTTATCAAAATTATGTAGTTATTAGCTCAGTCCAGCAACAAAACAAGCTTACATAAAAGCAAAAATCTCCCGGGTCATGCCATCCTACGCCAAATTCCTGGTAAACAGAGGCATGATTTATTCTAGTGACCTTGCTATTTCTCCATGGCTGTAATATGTCTGATGTTAGCCATTTCAAATTAACATTGTATTAGGTAAACTGAAAATTTAGGTCTATCACACCACCCAGGCACATACTCTGTTTTTTCCCACAAATATCCAAATATATTAATGTAATTTAGTTAATATGTTCATATGACTATATAATTGTTCACAGCTGAGCCAGTTAGGTACTATAATTATACTTTCAATGGTACACAAATTGTGTTTTACTGTGATTAAAATTGCCTGATTTCGGGCCAGGGGCTGGGACGCCCCGGCGGAGCAGGCGGCGGCGGCGGCGAGTTGGTGAGCCCTAGGCTTGGCGCTGCCAGAGGTGCCAGTGCCGAGCCGTTCACGCCCGGGTCCAGCCGCGCCGAGTCCGCTTCCCGCGGGGCCACGCCCTGTCAAACTTTGTTGCGGCGGCTAGCGTGCCGGGGAGCGGGAGGGAGGGGCGCCGGCCCCGCCGGGCAGGGCGCGGGCGGCTAGGGGCTCCGAGATCTGCGGCCCCGGCCCGCGGCCCCACCATGCCCCAGCTCGGCGGCGGCGGCGGGGGAGGCGGCGGCTCCAGCGCTGGGGCGGCCGGTGGAGGGGACGACCTGGGGGCGAACGACGAGCTGGTCCCCTTCCAGGACGATGGGGGCGAGGAGCAGGAGAGGGGCAGCGACAGCGCCTAGGCGCAGCTGGACCTAGACGAGGTCAAGCCGTCCCTGGTCAACGAGTCGGAGAACCAGAGCAGCGGCTCGGACCCAGAGGCGGAGATGCGCCCGCAGCCCGCCGGGGATACTTTCCGGAAGCCGCGGGGCTATTTAGCCGAAGTGAGAAGACCCCAGGACCGCGCATTCTTTAAAGGACCCCGCTACTCTGGATACCCCTTCCTGATGATCCCGACCTGAGTAGCCCGTACCTCTCCAACGAACTCCTGTCTTCCGGAGGAGCGCGCACCAAAAGGCTAAACGTGTTCTATGCTTTCCGTTGAAAGAAAGAAGCGGGATCAGAGAAATGCAGGCTACAACGATGAGATGACAAAAAAAGTCTAAGAATACCGGTGTTGACGAAAATGTATGCTAATAAAAGACAAATTTGCATATTATGTTGAGGAATGATTGGGCAAAATCTAGTAAAATCTTTTTTTTTTTTTTTGAGACGGAGTTTCGCTATTGTTATCCAGGCTGGAGTGCAACGGCGCTATCTCTGCTCACCGCAACCTCCGCCTTCTGGGTTCAAGCATTCTCCTGCCTCAGCCTCCCGAGTAGCTGGGACTACAGGGGCGCACCACCATGCCCAGCTAATGTTTGTATTTTTAGTAGAGACGGGTTTCACCTTGTTGACCAGGATGGTCTTGATCTCTTGACCTCGTGATCCACCTGCCTCGGCCTCCCAAAGTGCTGGCCAAAATCTAGTAAAATCAAAGGTGCACATATGACCTAGCAAATCTACTACACATGAGCACAAGGGATATGAACAAGAACACTTCTTGCTGCATTGTTTACAGTGGCATAAACTAGAAACAACATATGTGGCCATCTATGTATTGAATAAATAAATACAGTCGTATAGTAGAATATAATGAATTAACTCAGATGTTCACATGTTAACATGAATAAATTCTAAGAGTCTAACGCTCACTAGAAAAAGTAAGTGGCTAGGCTGGGCACAGTTGCTCACACCTACAATCCCAGCACTTTGGGAGGCCAATGCAATAGGATCATTTGAACCTAGGAGTTCAAGAGCAGCTTGACCAACATGAAGAAACCCCGTCTCTATTAAAAAATATAAAATTAGCCAGGTGTGGTGGCGGGTGCCTGTAATCCAAGCTACTCGGGAGGCTGAGCAAGTGAAGAATCACATGAACCCGCGAGGCAGAGGTTACAGTAAGCCAAGATCGCGCCATTGCTCTCCAGCCTAGGTAATGTGCAAAACTCTGTCTCAAAAAAAAAAAGAAAAGAAAAGAAAATAAGGGGCTAAAAAATACCTATGATGCAGTGCCATTTATATGAATGTTGTAACTCCCAAGAGAATGATAATTGCATTTGGTTATACAGGAGAATGCCCTGGTGTTTAGGAGATTGGGGCTGAGGTATATGAGGGTAGGGTGTTACAGTTTGACAACTGACTTTCAAATAGTTCTGCAAAATAAAAATGTCTGTGTGTGTGAATAGATACATAGGGGAGGGAGGTAAGCAAAGCCAATGTGTGAACATGTTAACGATGATGAATCCGGATAAAGGACAGATTGAGTTTATTGTACTTTTCCTATAACTTTTTTCTAAAATACAGTTTTTAAAAATAAAAAGTTAAAAAAGAAAAAAAATGGCCTGATTTCTTGCTGCATTTTCTGCTTATCTCTTTCAGCCCCGTATCTGCTAATCTCTAAAATTCTTCTCAATAAAAGTAAACTCAACATGTCGTTTGTTGATTAAATTCATTCTCTTTGTTGTGCCCTCTCCTGAAGCCCTCTATCCTCTTAGCATGAACTGAAGTTTGGTGACACGATGCACGGCTGTCATCCGAGGCCTTTCATGTTTCCATTACCCTAAGAAGTATCTCTTCTCTTCTATCTTATTTAAAGAGGTTTTAAAATGTGCACAGACGATGTTGTTGTCTGAGTCCCTTGTTTTGATTCTTAGTTTTCTTCTCTTCTTTTTGTGAGTGTATCACCAGGTAATTCCCTGAAAAGGGGGACTTGGAAGATGTGCCCATCATTTGCCTTTGTGCTGTGAGATGTGGGAATGTGTGCTAGGCCCTGCATTATACCTGGAGGAGGGTCAAGAACATCTGTGAAGGCCAAACATGCCTGAGACCAAAGTTCAGAGTCCCTACTCATGACTCATGCTCAATCAGAACTTGGAAAACACTGGCTTCACCACTCCCAATAACACAATAACAAGAGTTGAGGAAAAATAACAGTAGAATCCAGTTAAAGGAATGAAAGACACATATCACTAGGGGAGTGTGAAGCCTTTAATGCACTAAGGGTCACCAGAGCAATAACAAACTTCAAACTCTGCCTGACTCCTGGCTTGATTAGTACAAACACACCCTTACTACAGGCCTAGCAGAAGGGAAACAAGTTCGTTTCTGCTATTGGTTGAATTGTGTTCTCCCAAAAACATATATTGAAGTGCTAACCCAGTAGTTCAGATGTGACCTCATTTGGAAATTAGGTATTTACAAAGGCAATGGGTTAAGGCCTGGCGTGGTGGCTCATGCCTGTAATCCAAACATTTTGGGAGACCAAGGTGGGAGGATTATCTAAGGTCAGGAGTTCAACACCAGCCTGGCCAAGATGGTGAAACCCTGTCTCTAGAAGTAATACATAAATTAGCTGGCTGCAGTGGTGGGTACCTCTAATCCCAGCTACTTGGGAGGCTGAGGCAGGAGAATCTCTTGAACCTGGGATGCGAAGGTTGCAGTGAGATGAGATGGTGCCACTGCACTCCAGCCTGGGTGACAAGAGTGAAAACTCTGTCTGAAAAAAAAAAAAAGCAATCAGTTTAAATGAGATCATTAGGGTCCACCTTAATCTAATATGACTGCTGTCCTTATAAAAAGATGAAATTTTGACACAAAAATATGCACCGACAATGGTTATGTGGAGAAACACAGGGAAACGCCATTGGAGTGATGGGTCTCCTAGCCAAGGGAAGCCATAGATTGGCAGTAACTCACCAGAACCTGGAGCCATGGGAGAAATTCATCACAGCACTCAGAACAAACCATTCCTGCCAACACCTATATTTTGGACTCAGACTCCAGAACTGTGAGACAGTGACTTTTCTGTTACATAAACCACCCAGTTTATGATACTTTGTTAAGGTATTCCCTCAAAAACTAATGTAATCTACAAGTATAAAAATGTTTACCTCAGTATATATCTTTCTATACAGGTCTGGTTTTTAACAAAAACAAAAACAAACAAACAAAAAAGCATACGAGGCAAAGGTATTTGTAAAAGGAAAGAATGTAAAAGGAATATAAACCACACTGTGAAGAGGCAAAATGAACATCAGAACTCTACTAAGCTATAATACAAATGTAGGAATTCTCAGGCATAAAATGAAAAATAACTAATTGATATGTCAAAGGCTTTAGTGGAAAATAAAGACAATATGCAGAATGAGATAGATCATCTTATCAGAGAGTTGGAAAGTAAAATCACATGGAAAAGCTTGGCATGGTGGCTCAGGAACCTAATCACACCACTTTGGGAGGTTGAGGCAGGTGGATCACTTGAGGTCAGGAGTTTGAAACCAGGCGGGTCAACATAATGATATCCTGTCTCTACTAAAAAAAGAAAAAAAAGTTAGCCTGGCTTGGTGGTGGGCACCTGTAATTTCAGCTCGTCAGGAGGCTGATGTAGCAGAATTGCTTGAACCCAGGAGGTAGAGATTACATTGAACCAAGATTGCGCCACTGCCCTCCAGCCTGGGTGACAAAATGAGACTCCATCTAAAAAAAAAGTCAAGTGAAAATGCTAGCGATGAAAACCACAGAAAAGAGATGAAGATGCCTTCAATGGGCTCATTAGAACCCTCGACACACTTAAGAAAATAATCAGTGAACACGAAGGCATATAAACTAACTATCCAAACTTAAATATGAAGTGAAAAGAATAAAACACAGAGAATCTAAAAACTGTGGGACAGTATCAGACAGTGTCAGTTTTGGATACTTGCAACCTCAGAAAGAAAAAAAAAACAAAAACAAGAAATATTCAGAAAAAATAATGGTCAAAAATTGATTTAAAGTCACCCAAACTCAAGAACAAAGAAGCCCAGAGAACAACAGGCATGATGAATATCAAAAGACACACACCAAAAAAGAACAAAGAAACCCAAAACAAGAAAAAAGTGACAGCACATCTCCAAATATAGGTGTATCAACCAAATTCAAACTTCTGAAAACTAAAACCAAAAACGCAATTTGAAGGCAGCTCAAGTAAAAAAAAAAAATGTATTACTGCCGTGCGTGCATTAACTATGGGAATATGTTCTGAGAAGTGCATCATGGGATGATTCCATCATTCTGTGAACATCATGGAGTATGCTTACACAAACCTAGATTGCAATCGTGTAGCTTACTATGCCTGTAAGCTGTATGGCATAGCCTACTGCTCCTAGGCTATGAACCTGTACAGCAAGGTACTGTCGTGAATACTACAGACAACTGTAACACAGTGGCAAGTATCTGTATCTAAGCATATCTAAGCATAGAAAAAGATCCATGAAAATAGTTTTATAATCATATAGCACCA